CTTTGTCACCTCCAGTGTGGGATGACAGCGAGAGCTGTAGATACACAGGAGTCCCTCGGGGACCCCTGTGAACATACTTTCAGACAGGTAAGATTTAGACCTGTCAGATTTTAGGTTAGGAGGACACATGTTGCCAAAAAAATCTTGACCTTGACAAGTAATGTATTTCCAGATTCCCTAGGAATTCTCTAGAGTACTTTAAGCATCTGTTTTTGATTAATTGCTCGATGACAAGGTGGAAATCTGAAAGAAAAACTGAAAGCTGAAGGGTTACACACCATTGCCAGTGAAAAGTAAGGGAGTGGTGACATTTTCTAAATTTAATGCAAATAGGAAGGATTTGTTCAGTGCAGAGACGTGTCATGTCTAGGACTGTACCTACTAGATAAGGCTTGTGGTCTTCTCCTTCCCTATCTCTCTTATCATAAAATCTTGTGTGTAATCTCCTGTTTGTCTTATATCTTGGATGCTATACAAAAATCACTTCTGGGAGAGTAGGGACTGAATGAATAAGTGGTTCATGTAGATACAGGCACCAATCTTTGGAAATGTAGATGTGATTGTGGAACTTCCGGCTTGCTGGATTTGGATAACCACCTCACCTGTCTATAGGAAAGAAGAGAGAGTGAACGTGTAAGCTTCTGGTTAGCATTCCAAGGATCCAGAAAGCACCAAGAGATCTATTAGGGCAGACTGGATGTCTGCAGGGCCTCTAAATCTTTTTGATTTTGATGCCAACGTGATTTCGCAAAGATGGGTTCAGACCTGCTCTGGAGCTGTTCTAGCTCCACGGATTAAACCGAGATGAACTCATTACAGCTTCAGTGTGGCTGGCTTCAGAGGTTTGAAAAGTGTTCTTTGACGGAGACTGAATAACTGGGTGCGCTTTTGCTGCCGACACCAGCATAGCCCTGTGACGCTCCCGTAACTTTCTAGTAGTTTTCTCAGGACTTGACTCGGGCGGAGATGGCGGTGTGAAGCCTCAGTGAATTGTGTTTGTTTCACTTTTGTTCCTTCCTGTTTTTGGCTCATATAGCAAGTTGATGGTAAATATTGAGCAATTTACTTAACCACACTATTCCTCAATTTCCTTATTAGTCATGTTGTCTTGTTTATAAGCAGCTTTGAAATGTCTGCGAGCACACAACATGTTGGTGTGAGTATCCCTAGTAGATATCTCGTTTCCAATCTGCCTGCCGTCTTTCCGAAGGTGGCAGCTGCCTGCATCAGATTCATTTGAAGAGATTGTTAAAATGCAGAATCCCAGACCCCCTCCGAACCTTCTGTATTAGAATTTCAAGGGACACAGCCAAAAGTCTGTGCGGTGGCTGGGTGTGGTGGCCACGCCTGGAATCCCAGCATTCAGAAGCCTGAGGCAGGAGGATCAGGAGTTCAAGCCCACTTGGGCTACATAGCCAGACCCTGTCTCAAAATAAAGCAAAGCAATTAAAACAAAAATCTTCTCGGGTGAGTCTGATGCACTCCAAAGTATTGCTTTGAGTGCCTCTTCTTCGGTAGCCTGAGACTGGATTCAGATAGTTGGATCACTTAAAAAACCCCTGGTATCCCCCAGGATTTTCTGTACTAACCCAGGCCTGACCATTTTCCCCAGAGGCACTGCATATTGTGATTCACTTGGTCCTTTAAAAACTACCTTCAGCTTCTCTTGGCTTTCCCTGTCCTCAGAGTGGAGGTGACCTGGTAGGATGTTGAGGACTGGCTGTCCCTGGTCAAGGGTGGTGTGAGATTCACTTCCTCACTTCCGGAAGAAAAGAATGGAGTTGGTGAGCGCGCCTGCCTGCTTTCGGTTTCATGCTGGGCTTCCCCTAGGAGCCCAGGGTTTAGCTCCTCTGCTTGATGTGACCACTGACTTGTTTGTGACCCGGAGGAACCATTCAGTCTCTTCCCCAGCTTCCCCTGCGCGGCATAGTCTGTCCCCTCCTCACGAAGTGGCTTCCAGAGGAGTGATTTGGGTCGCTCAGGACAGCTGTGTGCTGGGGACTGCGCACTGCGCGGCCAGGTGGGGTGTAGCAAGCAGTCACAGAGAGCAGTCTTTCTTCTGTCTGGAGGGGAGCGAAAAGCAGTGCCCCTCTTCCCTTTGGGTGGAGACTGACAAGGGGGCGTAGGGTCATGGGGTGCCAGATTGGTGCCATGGTGTCCACAGAGGTGTCACGGAGGCTGCAAGGGGACAGCAGAGTTCCCCCTTCTCTGCTCACACCTGGGAGGACAGGGTGCTCCTAAGCCCAGCTTTGCCTCTCTGCTTGCCCTCGGGAGACGGCCGGCTGCAGTCGCTGCAGCGCCATCTCCGTTGCTACCTTTCTTGGAGGAGCCCTGACCTTGAGCTCCGTTGCTAGTTTTCCTAGTGCTACAAAACCAATTAAACAAATTACAAAAACAGCAGCTTCCTGCACATGGTCATCGTCTCACTGCTCCGAGGCACTGCCCAGGCGCAGCTCCCCTCCCAGGCGGGCGCACAGGGCTCAGCCGGGCCCTTTCCTCTTCTCCTGCACAGCCGGGGCAAGGGCGGTGGCCAACCCTGGCATGCTTGGTCCCTTCCAGTCCCTGCAGCCTCAAGCTCACAGCGCCTTTCTTCCTTCAGCGCAGCTGGAAGCTTCGTAGTGTAGCGGTGCACGGATCAGTACACAATCCTGAGGCTTTCAAAGACTTTCATCTCATATCCACCCAGATGGCAACTATAACAATAAAAATTTTAGAAACACAGACAACATAAGTGTTGGTGAGGATGGGAGGAATTGGAGCCCTGGGCTCTGCTGGGGGAGGTGTAAAGTGGGCGGCTGCTGCTGACAAGAGCACGTGGCTCTCCTTAAAATATTCAAAGCAGCCTTACGTATGACTCTGCAGTCCCACTGCTAGGTATATCCCCCCGAACAGGGGAAGCAGGACTTAAATATGTATCTTCATATCCACATTTGTAGCAGCGTTGTTTGCAGCGTCCAAAATGCGGAAGCACCTCAGGGCTGTGAACAGATGACTAGGGAAAGAAAATGTGATACACATGTACAGTGGAGTATTAGAACAAGCAGTGTAGCAAGCAGCCTGGGAGGAAGACGTTCCACCTTGCTGGCCAGCAAAGAAATAAAAATTTGAAAGTGATAAGAAGTTCGCACCTTGTATTCCATGGGATAATGGATGTTAGGTGTCCAACACAGAAAGTCTGGCATATGGTTCTATTCAAAACACACGTCATTGATCTGCTGCTTCTCCATCTCCCCAGGAGCAGATTTGTATCCCAGTGTTTCAGACAGGAGAGATTTCCATCATTCCTGGACTCTCTTTTAGTGTGCTAGTTAAGTTTTTAAAAGTAAAACCTTTCCTTGAGGTTCTTTTCCTTTGGGTTCTAATCTGAAGAGGTACAGTATGAATTCTATTAAGTTCAATTCTGAGATGCTTGTTGTACTAAACAAAAGTATTTACCTGCAGTGATTAATAAGATAATTTCTAGCCGGCTATCCCGGAGTGTGGAACATCAGGGTAAACTGTGAATCATGGCATTTCTGTGTCCTGAAATCAGCATGCTTATGGACCGCTTCACATTCCTGTTTCTGATCAATCACGTGGCCACACACCTGCTTTCGTGTCTCTCTTTCCTCACACTTTCCACCGGCCGTTGTTACCACTTGGTAATTTATTGCAGGCAATTAGAATAAATCCTTTTCATGACAAGGAAGTGTAGCTAGTAGTACCTCTATTAATAACTAGTCAAAGACTGTGATCAGGCATTCTATTAAGCCTGTTTATGTTATTTAATGATCACATCCTTCTCGGACAAGTTAAATAGTTCTAGGCGAGAAAATTGAGACTCCACATTTTGATAACTCAATCCAAACCTCAGCTCATCAGTGCAGCTGGATTCAAAGCCAGCTCTCTGCAGCTCCAGAGTTTACCTTACCACTGTGCCCCACCACATCTAGGAATACAAATTATACTTATTTCATAAATAAAAGTGATTTATAAGAGTAAATGTTTAAACATGTTATTTGGTACAAGTAGCCTGTTGACCATAGTTCCTAAATTTTTCATATGAATTCAGGAACATTTTTAAAGCTCCAGATGCTTTAGCTGCAGCATATGTTCACAACAGAATGCTTCCTATTCCACGTCAAAAGTGCAGATTTGCTCCCTGATAAGATGTACTATTGGGAGACTATTTTTTATTGTGATTCAGGTGCAAATAACAGGAAACTGTATTTTTTTTCTTGGTAAAAGGGGAGGTATTTCTAAAAATGTTTTCTGTAATAGTGATTTAAGTGGGCATTTTTTTCTGCACTGTGAATGGGTAGAAGACAGATCATAGCATGAGATTCAAAGAAGTAACAATGGCCTGCTGACTTGGACACTGACATCCAGCCAGGGGTTTTCCCAGGACTCCGAGCCGGGGCGAGTGCGACCTTGGTGCGTTTCCCTGCCTGAGAGAGCGGGACCGTGCCAAGCCTCGGGGAGAGAGAGCCAGGCGGTGGCTGACACGGGCGATGAGTTACTGTGATGGCCTTGTAGCCAAGGCTTTTATAGCTTTCAAACAAAAGTCTGACACCAAAGGAAAAGCAAAACAAACAAACAAGCAAACGTAAAACTAAACTTGCTTTTGTAGTTCATACACAAATAGTAATACATACGAAAGTAGCTTTGAAATGGTTGTGAAAAAATGTAAGGAAAAGAGCACAAAATTATTTTCTTACTTTCTTTCAAGAACTCAGTCCTGTGCCTTTTTTGGGGTGGGCGGGGGAGCGGTACCGGGAATCAAACTCAGGACCTCATGCTTGCCAGACGGGCACTGCGCCACTCAGCCAAGTCCCTGGCCGAGTCCTGTGTCTTTTAAGTGAAAATATTTTCAGAGTTTTTCCAAAAGGAGTGTGAAAATTGGCAATGAGTAGATTTAACGTGAAATAGAAGCGTGTGCACACACACGCATGCACGCACGCACACACGCATGCTCGTTTTCCCGGGCTTGGCCTAACCCCCACTGCTGCTTCCGTTTGCAGAGCCCACACGTGTTTCAACCGCCTGGACCTGCCCCCGTACCCGTCCTTCTCCATGCTGTACGAGAAGCTCCTGACGGCAGTGGAGGAAACCAGCACCTTTGGACTGGAGTGAGCCGCAGGCGCCAAGCCCAGCTCTTTGGGGACAGGAGATTCCAAGGCTGGCCGCCAGGAGACGGACTGCACATGGAGTCTCAGCAGCAGGCTCCGTCAGAGCAAGGCTGAGCGCTGTCGCCCTTGGGATGGGCCACGCATCCTCTCGCGAGGATTTGGGTGAGCTTGGTGCCCAGGAAACAACACAACAGTCTTTCAATCAACGGTTCTTGACTGCCAAACATTTTCCATTTCTGATGCTCCAAGACAAAGACCAACCTGTCCATGACCAGCTCCATGGTAACTTTTAAGGACTCAGGAGAACCTTGAAACTTACCCCTGAATGTGGTTCCAGTCAAACCGGCAGCACTTGGCCCAATCTCCAAATTAGTGCAAGCTCATTAATATAATAAAAAAGTGTATTTCCTGAAAGTACATTCATTCATGCCCCAAGTTACAGTGGAATATTCATTTCTTGCTTGTAAGTGTCTGCATGGTGCGCACTGCAGGTTTTAGCTCTCATGGGACACAAGCGAACCTGAACCCCCGGCAATATAAGGTAACTTTGAAGATTTGCAATAAGGTGGTTTGTGACAATGTGTATGCCAATGGTATGTGTGTCATTACGGCTGAGGACAGCTGATAGTCAATGAATTACTAAGGACAAATTCTATGCTTTATAATGCATGAAAACAATTTTAAAATAGCAGTTAATCGCAGCCTATCAGGAAAATGTACACAGTGAGTTCTGTTTACTTTCGATGGGTTCATTGTGTTTCTGTCCTGTAAGATGTATATAAGGACCTCCCACCACCCTGGTGTCCTCCCGTTGACATGTTCCACGCTTCCTTGGGCATCATGCTCGTCTGTACCCTTTTAAGCACTCTCAAGGGAACAAAAGGGCCTTTTATTTTTATAAAGGTAAAAAAAATTCCCGAACTATTTTGCACTGAACGTACCAAAGTCGAAGGGACGTTACAATGTGACGAATAGCAATTCCATCCCCTAACAGTGTCACAGAAACTAGCCTCCCAGTCCGCCCTCCCTCACAGAGCCATCTCAGCCACTCCAAGGACTGTGCGCCTCAGTAATAATTTTTTAACACTCACTCTATGTGATAGTACGATGTGCATTTATTTAAAATGCATTAGATTCTCTTCCATCCATCAGATACTTTCCAGGATGGCATTTAATACAGATATTTCATATTTCCCCACTGCTTTTTATTTGTACAGCATGATTAAATGCTAAGCCCACTTAGGGAGCCGTGAGCAACACCAGAGAGATCAGCTCTCTTAGGTAATAAGAACTCCATTCTCCCTCAGCAGTGAAGACGCCACAGATCGAAACGCTCAGCTCTATATTTCTAAGCCTGCATTTTCAGACTGATGCATAATTTTCTTATTAATGTCAGAAAACAATTTTTCTATGGTATCACAAAAACTGCATGACATCACTAATCTTATTTCTGCTTCATTTTATGAGAGGGTATCCTGCATTTTAATTGTTTTGGGATTACTCTACCCATGGTTTACCTCTTGGTTTATGGCCATAACTAGTCAGACACACAACAGGGTAGAGTTAAATGGAGGCTGTGAAAGCCGTGAGTTAACTTGGGATTGGCCAGCCTTTGGACTCTGGGCATTGTTGGGAGATTTCTTTGAGAACCATATTTATAAGTAGCTGTGGGATTCCAATGATGGTTGTTGGCCATCTTACGTTTCAGGGAGGTCATCTGCATAGCTTTGTAGGTGTTTTGTAAAAACTGGTTGCTCCATGGTTAGGGATGCTGGGATTATGGAGCATGATTAGGGATGCTGGGATTATGGAGACCCTCCAGAGGACCATGCCAGCAATTCTACGTTCCCCCACGAAGGGCAGATAACTCAAGGCAGTGGGGAGCTGTTCTAAAAGTGAGTTACAGAAACCTGGAAAGAAAGATTTATCTGTATGCAATAATTGGGCCAGGAAAAAAGGTCAGAGGATAACTTCGAACTGGAAATATTAGTATGTATTTACGGATCATGAATATAACTATATAATTTTGCAAATGGTTTTTACTTGTTTGTATTTTTTCATTATAAAGAAAAACAGTATAACACACTAACATGCTTTTTTAAGAGAAAAAATCACATTTTTGATGTTTCGGAGTTGACATTCTCTAAACAGCTGATGTCAAAGTTTGCATTTCTTTTTTTAAAAAAAAAATACATTCATAGACCATGTTAGCTTTCATTTGGTTTGAGAAACTTTGTTACCATATGTCATACTACTAGGGAAAAGAGATTTGCAATAAAATGTATCTCCTGAATTATTTCTAACAAATATATTTCTTTATTAAGGCATCTAGCATCTCAAATAACACTTCCCTTTAATGTACGCAGACCTACTTAGTTAGAATCACCTAGTTAACACTGTTCTCAAAATTAGGGACAAAAAATAGCCAAAACAACTGTAGGAAATATTAAATAACATGTCCTCAGGATAAATTAGACTTTAATATACTCTACAATTAGAAAACTCCATAAATATGTTCTGCACTGTGAACCCAGACAAATCCTTGGCTTTTGGTCTTGAGAAATTCATAAGTGACGCTCCTTACACTCTGAAAGACAGTCAGGCTATGTCCCAGATGTAGGCAGAGCAGCTCAGGGTGAGACAGCCTCGGACCGTCGGCATCCCAAGTCTTATTATTGGGTTTGATGATGGAGCTGCAGGATGCTAAGCCTTCACAGTCTGGTACAAAAGACACCAACCCTCCAAAAAGAGTACTTTAAATGAACACTCTTAAATTCTACAATCAGGAATAGAGAACAGCCTGTCCAACTGGGTGATTCCACCAGTCATGGCTTTGTTTGTGGGAGAGAGTGGCTAAAATAAACCCCCTAAGTGCTGTCTCTGTTGGTCAAGAAGGGCGTGTGGTAGTGTGTCAAATCTCCTTACGTGCTGAAGCCCGAGGGCGTTTACAGAATGCTGGGTGGGGAGCGCTGGGATCTTCAAATTAGCGAATAAATGCCAAAACAAAGTCCTGTCCTCTCCCTCTGGTCCTGGGCACCTGTACTGCGCTGTACCTTCCGTCTGTGTCTTTGTGTCCACGCCACTGACAGGATCAAAACATTTTTCTTGTGCACAGCCTGAATGGATCTGGGTAAGAAATGAAATCCCGAAAATATGACTGAATTAGAAAGAATGTAAGCTTTGCAGACTCAGAATGCCCATGACATTCTCATTCACTTAAACTCAAGTCTCAAGGGAATAAGGTGGCTGAGATGTATAATCATCTGTATAAGTAAAAATGAGAAAATGCGTTCAGATGATGGTAAAGGTAGAACATGTTTGTTAGTGCTTTAGAATTTCAAAGGGATTCTAGGTCCGTTGTCTCTTTTTACCCTGAGTTACTTTGCTGAATTCGTTTCAAGTGCTACCTCGTTTCACCCTGATTTTTGTGGCTGGCTGGCCAGGTCTGTTGCAGTATTTTGTAGTCAAAATTCTGCGTTTCGTTCCAAGAAACATGGATACTAATGGTTGTGCCAGTATATTCTCCTTTCAACTAGTTTTGGAGGATGCTTCATCTATCCAAACTCTCACTTTCTTAAATAAACACACTTAACATGTGACACCTTCTGAAAATTCCATGAAGAAATTAGCATATTCATAGAAAAACAACCCTCATAGACCTAATATTTGCGTTTCACTATTTGCCATGAGACATTGAAAACAGGAGGCAGAATTTGATTGCTTTTGGTGGATTTATATAGTAGAGCAGTTTAGTTTTCCCAAGTATCATTTGGAAGCAATAGTATGAAAAAAAAGCACTAATCAGAAGCTATATTCTCACTGTTAATTTTGAATGAGGTTGAATCTAGAAAGCCCTAGTAGCTGAATCCCCCTGGTACGGAGGAAGAGACCACCTTTTTTCTTCCTGTCTAAATGAATTTTTTTCCCATCTTTTTGCACAAATATCATTTATGACTTGGCCATTTCTAACAAGGCAAACATCTTATAATGAAGGGCGTAGAAGTCTGTCTAATTTAACCTTATTCATGAAAATGTATTAAAAGGTTGCAATAACCCTGCGTAATAATAAAAATGCGTAAGAGGCCTAAACTCTAAGCCATGCCTGAATTTCAAGCCCTCTTCCTCCACTTACCAGCTTTCTGAGTTAGTTGATGGGTGACAGTACTCCAGATCTTAGTCATCTCCTTCCAGGAGACTTCAGTTCACATTTAACGGGAATGTCACTTGGAACTTGTTTTCTAACTTGGTGAAACTTATTGTCTAGCACAGAAGCAAGGAAATGCCCAAGACACGAAAGCTCTCTGAATTGTGGCTGAAGGCCAGCTAGTGCCCACTGAAAGGAAGATAAAAATAAAAAGCGAAAGGAGCCAGCAGTGGTGCCACCCCCAAGAACGCAATGCTGACTGTTGGCCAGCAAGTTCAGGAGTGGCAGCTGTGTCCCCGGGCACTGGCACCAAGGGTGTGCTGGGTGTGGTGCTGCCCGTTGGGCCAGGGCTGCAGGGTGGTAAAGACAGGAAAGTAGCCACAGCGGCGGGAAGACACGGTGGAGGGTAGGCTCAGACCAAGCTGAGGGAGGAGTGCGTGCTGGTGTGGCTTCTCACTCTGGACGGAAGAATGCCCTGCTGTTAAGCGGGAGCTCTGGCTGGCATCAGCGTGGTGGGAAATACCCTCATTTCGTAACTTCACCAGGTTAGCATTTTCCTTACTGCAAAGCAGAATTTAAGGCCCAAGGTATTAAAGCTACCTAGAACTTAGGAGATTCAACGATTTTGCATTTGCAGCGAAGAGTTAGTGTTACTACATGGAACACCATATATGAAATGAAAGAGTGCTTTTATTCATTTCTGCTTATTTTGTTCTACAGCGGACATCCTTTGCCTCTGGAATTGCTTATGAGGCATTTTCATGCTGTAATGATATTTTCGATGCCCCCTGTTCATCTAGAAAGCAAAATCCTAAGGGTGAGGTGACTGAGTTGTAAACGGAGACCTAATCATTGTTTCCAACCAAGAAGTGAATTAAGGCAGGAAGTACATTTGCTTAGATTTTTATCTGCAGGGTACTTTCTTTGGCGTTCGTGATTTCACAGCTCAGTGGACTAGGATGGCTGGATTGTATGGGTCCTGGAAAGGCAGGAGAAGCAAATTTATAGACATGATTTTTATGTCTAGTGGCCTTGGGCAGGTGACATCTTTCCATCCAGCTTTCTCTGAAGATATTGCAACCCCACAGAGCGTTGGTAGGTGGGCCATATGATTCAAACTGAATCGGTCAGGGGCTACTGCTTACCGTCACCTTCTGTAAAACACCAGAGATAATGCTCAAGAAATACCTTCGCGGATTAACGGGGAAGCACACAGAACTGAACGTTCCTTCAGGACCCTCATGCTCTAAAAGATGTAATTACAACCTATTTTTCTTTACACGATATCAGAAGTCAAATTTGGGTCTGTTAAAATGTTGGAAAGTGCGTAAGACTACATGTTTTTATAATAGGGATGCAGGCATTCCAAAATGAATGAAAACACATGCATCTCTCTTGCCTCTTACTGAAAGTATTAATCTAATTTTATAACAATGCTTACTTTTTAATATTAAGGCTCTGTAAAAAAATTTCTTTCTAAGATCTCAGTAGAGCACAGGTGTGTATTTTTTTAAGCCTTTCCATTTCTCTTGGCCAGTGCCACTCTCGCCACCACACCATGAATCACTGTCAATAGTGGTGTCTTTATTTTTGTTGAGCTGACTTAAGCTTCATATTTATTCAATGTGACTTTTAATAGAGAATAATAATGAGAGATATTTGATATTAGGATTAAGATAACACAGCTCTCATTTCACCTTACATTTAAATTTCTTTCTTTCTTTTTAAAGCAAATAATGCAGATTGTTGACATCCTAGGTCTGGTGCGTGGGCGCTGTTGTATGGAGCCTAGGACTGACCGGTGGGCCAGTTGTTCATTTTCTGGGAAGTCTGTGTTCTTATCCTCACCTGAACCCCTGACTCTTGTGTTGTATTTTTTTATGATTATGAAATGCTTTGAGGGAAAGATATTTTAATGTGTACAATTTGTTTTATTTTCATACTGATCTCTATTTTTGTTTAAAACCATGTTATATCATGAAATCACTTAATCCAAAATAAATCTTCTGTAAAAAAATAGATCATGACTTTTCTGTCATACTTTTGCAAAAGAAAAAACTCAGGAGGAAAGAAAACAACAGTAGGGATAAAGGTCTCAGGGACCGACAGAGCAGTGCTCAGGATACAGGAAGTCCCCTTTTAGTTGTGTTTATAATTAGAAGTCGATTTTGCTTATCCTATGAGAATATTTTACTGTTTGATAAGCCATAAAGGAAAAAATTAACACAGATCATAGTCTCTTAACTCATGTGGTTGAAGCTATTGGTTAAGTCATCTTGGTTGAATGCTTAGCAAATGTATATATGCGTGCACACACACACACACACACACACACACACACACACACACACACACACCAGCTTAACCTGGCAGTCACTCACCAGCCTGCAGTGAGCAGGTATGTATTTTATATGGAAAACTGGCTGTGTGTAAGCAACAGAGAATAGTAGGGGGAATTGAAATATTTTGTTCCAGCAGATCTGGCCACATGAACTTCAGGTCCAATGTTGAATGTATCTCAGATGTATCAAGAGAAACCTAAAAATCCAAATTCTTACATAATATTTTCATATTTTTAAAACACTGGGTGGATCAAGCTAACCATGGCTACAGATTGAATTTGCTTAAAGTCATGAGTTTGGAACATTGATTTGAAAATGTTACCAAGGTGTAGCAGCTAACAGAAGAAGAGGAGGGAGGAGAAAGGTGGGTACATACTCTGAGAGCAGTCAGTTACAAAGCATGTATTTGAAAATTATTTATTTATGAGCATCTTTCTGAAAACCAACTTGGGTTAATTCATTTGAGGTAAGCATGTCCTTGCCAGGATTTCATGGAACCAATATAGCATTAAACTCTTTATTCCGTATTTTTAGGTTGCAGGACACCTTCATATATTCCAAGAGAACACAGAAGGCTGAGATTCCACTTCTGCGAAAGGTTGAGTTTGACATTGTTGCTGAAGTGGAAGCCCTAGTACTGACTTCCTGGTTTTTGCACCATATCCTTTCCTTAATATGCTTTTTTATCATGAATTTATCTGCCTTCATTATGTGCTGTTAATGTAAAATTTAAATCCATTTAACTAATAGGCAGGTGATAATACATTATTGCTGCCCTCCACCATCCCAGACAGTCTTTCATTACTGCTTTTTAAAATATTCTTATTTCATCCTTAAACCAGTAAGCTGTTAAGCTCTTCAAGGCATAAAGATTTTTCTTTTTTGGTACTGGGAATCGAACTCAGGACCTTGCACTTGCCAGGCAGGTGCTGTGGGGCTGAGCTGTCTCCCCAGCCCAAGATTTTCCTTATTCTTTCTTCTTTTTCCTGCTCAGAAATGTTGACCTATTGACTTTCCTTCTAAATATACACCTCACTAGCATTACATTTGTTTCCAAAATATAACTTTGGAATCAAAAGAATAAATAAAGGTTAGGATATCTGATAAAGGTCTTATATTTACATTGATATACGAGTCCCATACCCTTTATTTTCTTGATTATCTTAAAATTCTCATATAGATAGATCATCTCAAAAGATACTTACTAATTTTTCATTTAGAAAACAAAAGGTAGTAATTTTCCCCAAAAATATTTAGAACAGTACATATTTGTTTCCACTTCATAAGGATGTTATAAAATACCACCTCTGGCTAAAACAGTACTTGGGTCTCGTATAATAATTTCTATCTAGATTGGTATTCAGTTGCCATTGGAAGACAGACCCCAAGGTGAATTCTTGAACTCTGTCACAAGTTTGCCAAGAAATACCTCTCCCTGCCCCACCCCCACCCCAAATTAAACTCTTAAATTCAAGGTCGGGTAAAGATCTACTTTTTATTATGACATTCTTGTCCCACCTTCTGAGGCAGTTTCTTCACATTTGGCTTCACCTCCGTGAAGGCCATCTGGTGCAGTGCAGAGCATCAAATGTAAGGACAGGGGATGCCTTCAGGTGAATGCTCTATCTCTCCAAAACTCATATGCTGAAATCTAATCTCCAATCGGATAGTGTTTTGAAGCAGGGCCTTTCAGAGGTGATGAAGTCATGAAGGTGGAACTCTTGTGAATGGGATTAGTGTCCTTCTGAGAGACCCCAGAGAGCTTCCTCACTCCGTCTGCAATACGCAAAGGAATGGGCATCTATGAGGCAGGAAGTCCTCACCACACTGTTCATCTCCCAGAGCCTTGATCTTGGCTTCCCAGCCTACAGAACAAACAGTGAGAAAAGAGCCTGTGTGGCTTGTGAGCTGCCCAGCCTCTGATACTCTGCCGTAGCCGCCCCAAAGGACTGAGACACCAAAAGAGGCCAAGAGGCTTCCTGCGTGCTTCCTCCCTAGCTCACACCCACACCTGCACCCTCTACATCTTAGCCAAAGTTCTAGCAAGAGAAAGCCAGGCAGTGAAGAGAAGAAAATACATTTTCAAATGCTTAAAGCAGAGCTGATCTAAACTGCTGAATCCACAACTTCTAGGGCAAAGGCGCCTTGGATGAAAACAGTACAGGCTCCTCAGCGGAGTCTAGAAAACCAGCAGAATCCAGAAATCAGAGGGGAGACCTGCCTTAGGCGGGACAGCTCTTCTCACCTTCCATCCTCATGACCTGGAAACCCAAGAGAAATCTCAAGTTATAAAATCCCTAAAGAGAACAAAATGTGAGTCTGGCGGCCTCTTGAACCTGGCCGATCAGAGCAGCCCTTCGTCCTGGGATGGAAGTGTAGAAGAGAGAGGGGCTCTGGGTTTCCTTTAGGGGCGAGTTCTGTCCCCCAGTGGTTGGCCTCCCAGAATGAAGCAAAACAAAAGGAACAAGTATGCAAACAATGAACAAAAATGAACAAAAATCCAACAAGCCATTTTTAACTACTGGGCAAGAAGCTAATCTCAAGTTAGTGCTAATTGAGTAGCTCCAGTTGCAACTAGAAGACCATATTACCATTTCTTAAATTTTGCATTATGTCACCAGTCACGACAAGACCTTCAAACACCGACATGTAGCTTAAAGCGTGTCTAACCCATACAAAATTTCTTGTATGTTTTTTATTTTTAAGTAAATTCTTATGTCTCAAATCTGGTTTCACTTTGAAAGCAGGACATTTCCCTTTCTGCTTTACTAAAACTAATTCCCTCTGCCCGCAAACAGTAAAGACATTTGATGATCCAGGAAGATGTCATTTGCTTTTACCCGTTCTTTGGTGGCCGCTGTATGCCCTGCGGTGTGGACACATCTGAGAATGTTTATCACATGTATATGTGAAAATTCCACAATGAAACACAATATCCTATGTCATTAATATGTACCAATGAAATGTATATTGGGGAAAAAAAAGAAAAGCAAGTTTTGTACAATCAGGGTGTCTCTCTCATCCAGCACATTTTTCACCCACTGAAAAATAGGGTCTAAAATGTTCGGGTTTGTTTTCCTTCATCTGCAATTAGCCTGTCTGTCATGTGACTGTCAGTGTGGAAGAGGGAATAAAGATAACAGGGCGTGTGACTCTCAGGAACAAGCAGGAATGCCAGGCATTTCTCCTAACCTGTTGCACAGTTCAGGTGCGCTGATAGTTAGATGAATACACGTTAGGGAATGCTTCCTGGTCAATTTTGACATGTCTTTAGCTAAGACTTTTTATTTACACATAAAATTATATTTCAAAAATTAGCCCCACTGCTTGGATAAATGATTGAATGATTAGATGAAGAGATAAATCTCCTGTGTATAAACATTCCAAATAATTTGTACAGGTACAGTATTTAACTGATGTTAAGCTTCACTGTGGGCTGCCCATAATGACTTCCTTCCTGAGAGTACATCAAAGTGCGGGGTAAAGGGAGAAAAGCAAAGGGAACTAACAAATACCACCTCAGCCAGGGGCTCAAGGACAACACGCCAGTCATAAATCATGCAGGTAGTGCGGACCCTTGCTGTGATGTGATAAGAATGACCCTTTTTTCTCCCCAAAGCCCATAGTCCTAGTCTAACCAAGAGAAAAACATCAAAGTCCAATAGAGGCACCATGTGCAAAATATTTAATCAGTACTCTTCAAAAATATCAAGGTCATAGAAGCCAAGAAAAGTCTGAGAAATGGTTTCTCAGCAAGTGGAGTCTAATGGGACAGGATAACCGAATATATATGGCATTCTGGATTGGATCCTAGCACAGACAAGCACACTAGGTAAATACAAAAGAAACCCGAATAAAATGTGGACCTCAGTTAATAACAATGGATCAATATCAGTTTATGAAGTGTAGCTAACGTACCATACATGCTAGTAGGGGAAACCAAGCATGCAGTAGAGAGAGCTCTATACTATTTTCTCAATTTTTCTATGAATGTAGAACTATATGGAAAATAAATAACTGGGTTTATAGAAAAAAATTAGCACTAAAATAGTACGTGTGACAAAGCCCCCAAATCAGTTCATTAGTGATTGGTCAGAGTAAGCCATTCTTTAATCAAAAAGCAGCTAAAAAAAATGGGCATAGCTGAGGCTGGAAATGTGGCTCAGTGGTTGAGTGCTTACCTGGCATGCACAAGGGCCTGGGTTCAATCCTCCACATCACAAAACAAAGCAAAATGAGTACAGAGAACTGTGTAAAGGCTGAACAATGGGAAGAGAGTTTGTTTCACAGGGGAGCAATGATTCCATGCTAAGTAATATTATATTATGTGTAGTAAGACTGATATTTTGTAATAAAGGCAAGTGGATTTTTAAAAAATAGAATTATAGGTTATCAAAAAGTACCTTAGTGACAGAATTTTGTAATAAAATTAAGATCAGAGACATAGAAACCAGCTAATAAGTGTTCTGCCTAGAAAGACTCTGGGATAGTTAACTCATTTTAAGATGGATGTGCAAAAATCTAAAGAAACAATTTCACACAACATAGTCAACTAGGTTCATTCATGCAAGAAATAGACACCATATATCTATTTCTTCTTTTATTTCTTAAAGTAATACCTCCATTTACCTACTGTTCTCAAGACATACTGATTGATGACTTTGGG